GTAGCCATTATGAATATTTCTAAAATATTCTGCCACTCTTCCAACATGTCCATTTAAATCTCCTCCAATAAGATACATCATATGTATTAATTCTTCTAGATCATTCTAAAATTTTTCTTTTGAACTTATATTTGAACCTGTTTGAGGAGCATCAACACTTGCAATATTAAAAATTTTAGTATCAACAACAATTATTAGGGCTATAATTTTATCTCAAATTCTATAAATCTTTACAACATTATATTTTAAACTCTTATCTCTAATTACACTTACATCATTATTAGTGTGATACCTATCTGAATACTAATGTTTAAAACATAAGATATCAATTTTCTTAGCATTTTCTCTAACCATTTAGTTTCTTGAATGTATAAGATATTTATCAATTGTCTAATACAACTTTGTACACCTTTTTGCCATTATCTATAGCGATATACCTTCAAAGGTGAAATCTCCAAGTGGACCATATAGTTTATTTCATTTATTGACGATCACATTAGAATTACTTGGGTATTTCTAATGAAGGTGTAACCTGAAATAATCCAAATCTTTCAAACCTTTCATAACACGATTCAAGCTCAATTCCAATGCAAAATTTAGATTGTCAAAACTGATAAAGCAAATAAATATTTCAAATGCATCCTTGAGTTTTAACTTTTAAGAAAAGGAATTTTCCATGTGAGTTTATGTATAAATACCTCACAACAAAATGTGATAGCTAAGAGAGGAATAGACATCTTCTTGAGATATCTCGCTCAATTCTGATGTCTTTATACAGCATACATTATTAATTGAATATTTGGTTGAGTTCTTTGAAACATCTCTTCATATTTTACCTATCTTCACATTAGAGTTTTCTCTACTACTATACCACTTAATATTTTTGGGTGTGTGTCATTTATTCACACCCGTTCCCAAAATCACACAAAACTTGATTCTAAATCTATCGAGTACATATTTTTTTGTTATGCCACCAATAAAAGGGGCATAAGTGCTACTCTTCTGTTATTAAAAAATATTATAACTCGATAAATGTCATATTTTTTGAAAATCAATCATATTACCCCAAATCTGATGTTCAGGGGAAGAGTGCAAATGAACATTAATTTTTGGATGTACTTAATGACTACACGACTTCACCACTACACCTAGAACTTTTATTCTAGTTGAGGATGCCCAACCAACCCAACCTGAAGTCCAAAATAAAGAAATTCCTGTGTATACATGGAGGAAGAAAAAACTTGAGCATGTGGAAGACAATATGCAAGGAAAAAGCTACTCAAACTAAAACATTAGTCTGCATTCACCTGAAGAAAGAGGAGGCATCATGTACAAATGAAGAAAGAGGAGGCATCGTCGATTGCTTGCGGTGCTAGGTTGAGCCCAAGGCAGAGGAGGAAGAAGAGAAAGCCAAGCCCTAATTAAGGAGGTTGTGTCGTGCTCACTTGCAGATGAAGAGAAGGAGGAGGCGGCGTTGATCGCTTGCGGTGCTGGGTTGAGCCCTGACCGAAAGCAACAGAGTCGAGCTTCACGTGTTGAACCCTAGTCAAAAGAGAAGAATAAGTTAGAGGAGAAGAAGCCGAAGTAGCAAATAGGTGCGCGGAGGAGAGGCAGACCGCACTTGCAGGAAGAAGAAGGTTCACAAGCCTTGTGTGAAACGGGAAGGCTCTTGTTGAGCTAGCGTGTGGGTTTGGCAACCGAGCAAATAACATGGTAAAAGTTAGGTTTTTATTATATGTTAATTAAGAGTTATATTTATATATATGTTTATGAACAAAGTGTTAATCATAGATATATTTGAATTCAGGATGTAATTGAGTAAGGGAGATATAGTTTCAAGATTGAGGGGTGAATCACTTTGAAAGATAATGTATGTTTTAATTAAAATTAAAGTTTAATTTACTTAATTTAGAATAAATTTACTTAATTTAGAATGAATATTAATAAAACTATAATTTATAATAACAATTAAGGTTGAATAATAATTGAATCTAGAACATCTGGAGATAGGGAGTCGGTGAGATAAACAAGATGACTAATTATTTTCATGTATGTATTAAATTAATATTTTACTTATGAATAACTGCATTAATATAACTAAGGAATGACTGTATGAATAACTGCATTAAAATATGAGTGTTTCATATAACTAATTTTATAATCTGAGGCATATTATGAATGAAATAATTTTAAAATTAAATTAATTGAATATTAAAAAGGGAAAATTATTATTTCAACGATCTTAAATGGAAGCAATTAAAGGAAATGAAATGTAAAGGTTTAAGTCATACAAAATTACCTTTAGAAGGTACTGATCGGGGATGCGTTGTACCCGTGCTCGATAAAAGAATTGATAAAAGTGTAAATTCAGGTGTAAATTTCTTAGGGTAACAACGCATACAATTTTAAGGTTACTTTTGTGTATTACAGAGATCTTGATATGACTCTTAAAGAGGTTAATACTTAAATTATAATGGGAAGGGTTAAATTTAGAGTGAAAGCTTAAATTTCGAATAAGTAATGAACTATTTTTTTTTCTTTTGTAAATCATGCATAACATTCATATTGTAGTTTAATGCATATTAAAATTATAATTACTCACTAAGTCGTGAAAATTTACTGTTGAATTTTATTATTTCTTTTTGGAAAAGAGAAATTGTAGATTGATATGTTCAATATGAGAGAATTAGCTTACAGGAGAAGTACTACAACTGATAGGTATCTTATTATGATGTGATTGTAGTTCTTTTTTATACTGTTTTTTTCTTGGTAGTGATATACAGTTATATGTTTGTTTGAGATGTTGTCTACTGTTGACCTCATTTTTAGTGAGGTCTAGTCT